CGGGTGTCGGATGGAAGGAGGTGGATCAGGGCGGGTGGAGATCGTAGGGAAAATGATTCAACCTAATTGGGCGCTGTTTGCCAAAAGTCTTACGATTTTGTTTTCCCTCCCCGACCTTTTCTGTCCTCAGTTTTATGCCGCGACAGTTTATTTTGTTGTTGTTTTAAACCTTTTTCAGTTCCGTGACTATTTAAACACCAGTGCTAGCAATGGAGCTTCAAAAATGCCTGGAGAGTATCACCATTATTTGTACAGGAGCTTTCAGTTAAATTGTCCCCACGGGGTTCATTTGTTATTAAACATATGAACATATTAAAAGTATTAAACAGGGAATGCTGCCTGGAGACCTAATCTCACTGTGATCTCTGATGTGTAGGTGTCAAATAATAGAAGATTATTCTATCTGAAACTCTAAGTATGGAGAGAAGAGAGCTGGGAACAGTGGCATCAAATAAGTTTTGTTGCTTCTTAGTTTTGTGTTTTCTGCGAGCTGGGTGTATCATGAATTACATTAAATACTGGCTAAGATCAGCAACCATTTAAATACAAATGTGGGAATAATGTATACACCTGTTCATATATGAAATTCAGGCTAGTGTAATTAAGCATGTGATTAAGAAAAAGTATATAACAGCTTGATGGTCAAGGAGTTCCTATGGAAACTGGTTTTGTTATTCTAGGTCTCAGGTTATTAACATCATGTCAAAAATTTCGAAAAACACTGTTTTATGTTTAGTGACTAGAACACACTTGCTGAGTTTTTCTGCTGATTTCTTTAGTATTTCAGAAAAGGTGAGGGATGGAGTTTTTTGCTTGAGGCACAACCTGTAAAACCTGTTCAGTTCAGCTAACTGATTTGAGAAGGGGCATTGTTCATCACTAGCCATGCCTTTGCTATGCCCGTCTGCTATTGTAAGCAGACAGAATTTTTTCAAAGTGACACAAGTATGTTTATGTTGCTTTTTGAGCAGAGAGGGCAAAATAAATCTGCACTATACAGCCCTCATGTAAGTCTTTCTTCTGTAGTTGATGGTACCTTAACAAATTTCTTGCTCCCAGCTGGTTACGATTCTGCATTTTTGAGTCCTGTTGATAACTTTTCTACTCCAGACTGACCTACTTACTTGTTGGTTTCATGGATTTTTGTCTTGTCCTCTGCTTTGAGATCTTGAAGAAGGGGTTGTTGTTTTCTGTATGCTTGTGGAACACCAGCAACAATCCATTTTGTGTAAAGTTTACTATAAATGTTCAGTAATAATTTTATTACTGCTTTAACATCTGTTTGTTGTGCATAGTTCTTCAGTGTCTACAGGGAGAACAAGCAGTGGATCGGAATACTTTGTTTCTTTTTAATGGTTTCCTGGTTAAAGTTAGGTGTCAGACCACAGCCACAGGGTGATTTATGCCTCCCTGCTTTAGACTGGCTGGAGTGAATTGGCATTTAATCATGTTGTTCTATTACTTATCTTTCCTACCATAAAGTGATATATGCAAGAAGCATTCCGCAGGGTGATTATAACCCAGATTGGGTCTGTAGTACTGCTTTTATGCATGTACTGAAGCTTTGCACGCCACAAGAACATAATTTGCCTTTTTGCTGCCAGATTTTCCACTTGGGCCAGAGTTGGGCTATCTGCACGGTCCACAAGAGGATCTTTGAAAGTGTGTTGTCTGTAGCAATGAGCTGTCCTGGGATAAACTGCAGTTCTGCCATAAGGCTTCTTCCCTACTGTAATCCCATTGCAGAGTTATCCCAAAAGACTCTTTCTGGCTGCCTGGTTGTGTGCACACTTTTTTTTCCGCTAGAGAAGATTTTACTTTTTCATTTTTTAAGGTATAACTTAAATTGCCAATATTAGAGTTTACTGGTGCAGAAACATGAGGCAGCCATAAGGAAATGACTCATGCTTAGTTATTACTCTTGGGGAAAAAAAACTTTTAAAAAAACTTGTTAGCGGAGATTATTCTATCATTGTGGTATTACTCTGAGACAGTACTTCATGTGTATCTTTATACATGCAACATGAGTTTTTATTTGTATTGATTCCTTTAGCTTAAATACTAAAAGTCAGTTTTTAGAATGAGAAGTTAAGATCATTTCTCTCTATAACATGCTAATACTGCGTGGGACATGCATGAATAGAATAATCTTCTAATTCCTTAATGATATAGTCAGCTGAGAACTCTGTTATATGTGGAATGATAGGATTCCCTTCTTGCTACTTTGTGCCTCTTTTTCGGCATGTTTATGTTGGCATTCATTTGCCAATGTTTGTCTGCATTGAATTTCGTAGGCCTTTACTGTTATCTAAAGTGGTCTTTACATGATGTCTGAAGGCTCTGTTTTTTCATGCTCTAAGTATCCCTCTTTTTCACACGTAGTTGCATTTACTTAGAACCAAACAAGACCATAAGATATTAAATACAGAAGGCTGAACTCCCTTGTTGTGCTTTTGAAATATTTTTGCTGATATGTTGACAAGGAAGAAGAGCAGGAGGTTATATGTCCATATTCATTTGCTGATAATTATAGAAGTGTATACTTGATATATTGCTTGTGTATAACGTCTCTTTGCTGTTTGTATAAAAAACTAAGACCAAGTGTGATTTATATTACAGAAGGGCTGGAAGATGTACAGCAAGAGAAAAGGCTGCAACAGAGGAAAGAGCCACATCCCACTGATTCAGCAGAATTTCTGATGGCAGAAATGCCATTTGTTGACACAGATATTGAAGAAGAATTTGCTAGTAAGTATGTTAAACAGAAGTAGTGTGGAAGCATGGACACATCACACACTCGGTTCTTGGTCCTGCCTGTGGCCATGTCCAGGTGGGCTGTGCCCATGGAACAGAGTCTCCCTGGGAACAGGGTCCAGTCCAGAGCCTCTCTCATTGGTATTCAGTCTTGCAAATACTTGAGCATATTAAAAGTTTACTGTTTTGTAATCCATTGCAGCAATGAGTCACAGCATAAAGACATCTCGTATGTCAGTTCATGTTACTGTATGTTGGCATCTCAAGTGGTGGTTTTTATGGGCTGTCTTCCAATATATATAGTCCCAGCATGGGGTTAGAAGTTTATGATACATACCCAGCTTATGGGTATATATCAGGCCATGTGGTGGGAGAAGCTTGGGAAAGGCTTGACAAAATAAGCTGGGAGAAAAATAATTTATGGTGGAAAGGAAGGATTGAAGACATATTGAAAACACTTTTCTTTTGCTATGTTGGAAAGTGTCTTTGGCAAAGGAGGAGGTAAAGAGTAGTCTGGCTTGGATTACATTTTCTTCTGGGCTGGGTTTGGTCCTTGAACTATAGGTTGTCCAGTCCTTTTATACAACCTTTTATTTTTTATCCTAGGTATTACATGTGTTACAATCCTATGTGTTTTTGATTTGAAAATGCAACATACTTGGAACTTTTGAAACTTCACGTTCGCCTGTTTGCTCTAAAGTCCCATCCTTGTTCAAGTGCAGACAATTTGCAGGGTGAGCTGCCTAATTGAAACACGGTAGTTTGGGAGCTGTGTGCCTATGCTAGCAGCTTAAAAGCCCTGGTCAGAGGTGTAGGCTGTTAGCTCAGGTGTGGTACTCCACTTGTCTGACCACATTAGCTCAGGCTGGAGTAGGATCCCCATCAGGCGGTTCAGAGCATGGGCAGAACAGGTGACTGGGAAGACATACTCCAGTCAGTTAACTGAAGTCCAGCTCCTGTTGGCATGATAGGAAGTGTATCTTCGTTTTGATTTGTCTGTGTGCTGAAATTTTTTTATTTTTTTTTCTTCAGTGCATGCAGCCTCTGAAATAAATATAAAAAAGAAAAGAAAGAGGACTACTGGAAGAGAAACTGAAGAAGGCAGTGAGAGAAAGAAGAAGAAGAAAAAAGAGTATCAGCCAAATTATTTCATTTCTCTTCCAATTACTAATCCTGAGGTGATGTTCTTCTTATATTAATTTGGTATAACCAGACTGCTTCAACAGCTCTATGTGTTTAGAAGGACAACAATGTTTGATCTTGAGCAAAATAATTTTTTCAGATATTAATAAAGGAACATTAGCAGCCTATTCAAAGAGTAGCTGTATTTAATGTAACATTTTAGTGAATAAAATTGCTTATCTGGAAAAGACTAGAGGAAAAACATTTATCTTTTTTATTCAGTTCACCAGTCTTATGGATTTCACATTATTTTCACTGAAGGTGGCTTAAATTTCTCCTCTGTAGTTTCCAGTATTGCTAATTTTGTCGTTCACTTAGAGTAAGGAAGAGAGACATTCCTATTTAATACAAAAATCCTTAGCAATGTTTTTAGCTCTCCTTATAGATAGGAATTCAATTTTGGACCTGTTGCTGTTTTAACTACGCAGTTTGTAGTTTAACATTTTCTAATAAAATTGATCAACTTATTTAAAATTCAACCAAATTACTGTTTTAGTAAGATGTTGTCAAATGTATTTAAGATGATGTATTTTCTTGTAGTTAGCAGATGCTGTCTCATTCAGACAGTGAATGCTTATGTGCTGCAGGATGTCTCTAGTACAGCTTTGGTACCTTTTGTGCCTGCAAACAAGGAAAGTAGGTGCATTATGTTTAGAAAAGTTAAACCCAACAGTTTACCACCTTTTCAAAATTCAAGTTTGGGGGTTTTTTTTGGTGTTTTTTTTTTTTTTTGGTTTTTTTTTTTTTTCAATACCAGGAAATATCATCCTACATCTGTTCTATCTGTTCTCTGAGAAAGTCAAGATTAAGAGAATCCAAAAGGAAATAAACAAAAGTAGGACTGAAAATTACAGTGCAGTCTTTGATTCTGCAGAACATACTGTGTGAGGAGGAGATGGTAGAGGCAGGTTTTATAAGGTCCAGGGTAGCCTGACGCGAATGTTGTGGGAGGTCTTTTGTGCCATCTTATTCTGAAATACTTCCTGTCTGTTCCATGATTTAACAACTGCAAGAATAGGTTATCTAATCTGAAATTGAGAATTCCTGCTCACAATTGTTCATTATGTCGAATGGCTGGTTGAGTGGAGAAGTCTTAACAATGTGTTCTTTTTTATATGTCATGTAGTCTTACATCATTTACAGAAGTAAAGGAACACCTACATTAAATCTCAGAGCATTTGGAAATTCCAGGACTTTGCTAGAAAGTTTTGTTTATGCTTGCCTTAGATGTAGAGTTGTTCTGAAAGTAAAAAAAAATGCACGTTGGAATTTGTATAGGCAGTGTTAGCCAAAATTTAGACTTAAGACACCTGGTTTCTTGATAGCCAGAAGGAATCTGGTAATTACTGGTAGTATTTCTTTTAGTAATGAGAGACCTTTCTTTTTTTTTGAGGATCTGATTTTATTCCAGTGAAGGGTACTTATTAAAGGGATTAGTACTTTTTCTTTGTATTTTATGTAGCATTTTGAGCTTTATGCAGAAAACCATTTTATAATGAGGGATATTTCTGGAACATTTAATTAATGTGCCTCTTGGAAATTAAAGTTTCCTTGTTTTCATTTTCATTGTATTTTGACTCTTCAGAAGTAAAATACAGTGTTCCATTAATTTAGAATTTATGTTGAACTTTGCATTATTATTTGTGCAAAAATATTTAAATGTATGATTGTCATTGTATTATTGTCTGGTAATTTCTCTTTTAAAGGTATGTTTCATCTGATGTGTTGTCACTTGGCAGGTTAGCCTTTCAGGGTCCTCTAGTCGTGACTGAAGTCATAATTAATCTGTTAACTCTTTAAAGCGTACAGTCTTTATATTCACTTAGTAATATCCTTGCAGTAAGCAAAACTAAATTATTTTATTACTCTTCAGAATAACAAATATTACGGAATATATGGGAGGTATAGATATATGGGAGAGTGGATCCTGACATCAGTGTTTGAGGCCTTATTTTGAAGCACTTTAAACAATAACCTGAGGGAGGGATTGTTGAGTGTGATCTGCCTTGAGCCGTTTCTATAAGTTAGGAAATCTGTCTATTGTCATTGTATCTATCTATTGGACAGTATAATCAGAATTTTAAAACTAATACCTCTACAAATTAATTACTAAATATTTTTGTTTTATATACACCTGATCCTGCAGAGCTCTCTTTCATTTTCCAGACACTTGTCTGCACATATCAATATCCAAGTTTAGCAAAGTGAGCAGCCTCTTATTTGAATTACTAGCAGAGTAAAACTGGATGTTCTTAATCTGCTCCAGGAATTTATCATACTTATAGAAGCAAACTCCTATTAAGATGTGATGGGGAGTGTCCAGTGATATATTAATCACTCCATTCATACCCACTTTGGGTTTACTCGGGTCAGTTAGCATGGCTTTGTCAGAGGATAAAACTTCCTTCTACTAGAATGATTTTTACATAAACGTTTGATTTCAGTTCGTGTGCTTCCTTGTTCACTTGCATGATGGGATACAGTAATTGTCATGGCTAACTGTTGTTTCTCTGTCTGTCTGTCTTCCCAGATTACTGGCGGTATTCAGGCTGTCCAAAATGCAATAATACAAAAGGATCAAAGGCTTTCCAAAGCAATGATTCACTCTGGCTCTTTGCATGTCACCATGCTAGTGATGCACTTATCCAATAAAGAAGAAATTAGCATGTACGTATTTGGTGTTAAATTATGTATATATAAGTATTTTTGCTGGAGTAGTCAATAAATATACTAGAACGGATAACTGATTTTTTATATTTTGCAATACACAAGCCTAAATTACTAGAGTTAGTGAACATTTGATTCATGTTGTTCTCAAAATGCTAATCTTAATATTAGCCATTTTCATAACTTATGGTATGTCAGGAGCTCTGAACAAAGTGTGGGTTTTTTCCTTTGCATTTTTCTTACTACTTGCTGAGCTTGCATGCGTAAGTCTCATTTGCTTAAGTATTTATTTTAAACTAATGTTTTGATATACAGGACACTGAACAGATTAAGAGGGGAATTTTCACAATTTCATAGCTTAGCATTTGGTACAAGCCAAATTAGTAATTGTGACTGAAAGACTTTAATGGAATAAACCTTAGCTCCAAGCTAATGCTTTATGCAGTTATAGTTGTTTTTTTTTTTTAATGTCCCTAAATGCATTTATTTTACTAAAAAAATAAGTACAGTAAAAGAGATGTGGCTATTAGGCTTTATCAAAAGTATAATTTTTATATTGCTTCAGTGATATAGCTGATTTTTTTTATCATATAAAGGGTGGAAAAATTGTGGAAAGTCATGTGTATTATGCAATCATGTCAGATATCTAAGTGTTAGATGCAAATACTGGCTTTACAAAAATGCATTTCTTTAGTGCTTTTACTGTTTATTACATGCTGCACTGCTATCTGACAAGTACTCCTTGAATGTACACATTCAGTGGTTAATATGAAGATTTTAGACTTCTGTCTATACAGCTGTAATTTATGAATGTTCAGTATTTGTGTGTCTAGGTTCAATTTTGTCTTGAAGACATGCATTGTATTTTATAGTCTTGCTTTACACAGACTTTCTTGACAGTTTCTATTTAGGTGTGGTGCCCAATGGCCTGCATATGTAATGTCTCCATATTTGCACGTTATAATTGCAGAGTTGAGATTGCAAACCCGCTGGTAACTGTAACAGAGTATTATATGGAATGATGCTAAAGCATTTTACATTATATTGGCTTCATATGAACGTCTGGAAGTCCTCCATTGCTTGTGTCAGTTTTGTAGTGAATTGTTAATGGATCAAAATTCTTCAGATCCTTACAATTCCGTGAAAGAAAAGCCTCACAGTTTTATCTTCCCCAGATGAGTTCTCTGTCACATATATGTGTATTTCTTCCTGCTTTTCTCTGCAGTGTTAGCAGGCATGTGGTCCATGTATTGAACGATTTAGATCAAATAATGAGTAAGTGCAATGAAACATTGCTTTGGATGTGGTAGCACAGTTACAAAATGTGTCTAATAAGTGTGTGTTGAATAATATTTTTCCTCTAGAAGGTTTGGCTGTTAAAGTGCAGATTGATTGTAAGAAAGTGAGAATCCAGATAGAACATAGAAACCATCTGGTAGTCAAGGGGATGCTTCTAATAAGAAAAAGTACTTTGGCTAAAAACATTTAATGCACCTAAAAGTAATGAGGTATCAGCATACCTGATTCAATTGCCCTCCTTGTTTTCCACACTTGTTTCCTTGAATACAATACCCTTGAGGCCTCTGTGCTTTTACCTCTCCTGTGAGGATGCGAGTCTGTCAGCATCTTCACCTCCAACAGTCTGGTCTAACGGGAGAGAAACAGATAGCCAGGAACAGAGAATGGAAAGGAAAGCAAAGGATACTAGATCTGCTGGACTCTCTCTCCTCTCCATGTGCTCTTTGTCTCCTGTAATAGGCACATCAGCTTCCTTCTGCAGTTGTTGATGAGCAAACTGTGATAGCACCTGAACATTGGTGAGGACAACCACCAACTGTGTGCAGGAGTTTTATTTTAAAAGAGTTTGAAATGTGAACTTTTAAAAAAGAAATGTGAGAGGATATCTCAAGTGAAAGTATGCCTCCTCATTAATATTTTTTAGAGTCCAGACTCTATATCAAAACATATTCTCAAGTTCAGTATCCTGTGCTACTCCTTGAGCTCCTTCTCAGCTATCACTGTCCAACTGCCACCCAAGTGCATACTTACAGAGTTGTTCTCTGCCTCTCCCAGCAGAGCTCCACAGGCCAGGCACCCAGGAGCTGTCCTCTAGTCAGCAGCAGCTTCCCCAGTGATTCACCCCTTCCCTGGCTAGATGCCTCATACAGGTATCTGGCTCAGCTATCCTCAGGTATTCCAGATTGCATCTTCTATTATATGGAATGCTTACTTTTTTTCTTTTTTTTATAACTGATGTTTTCTGTTTGATCTTTTGGGAGAAATTGAAGGGCAAAATTTGAATTTTCTTTTCTTTGCTTCACCCATTTTTGGTACCAGGTTAATGGAAAGAAAACATGATCCAGGCTGGCAGGAGACGCTGTGTGTAATGTAGGGTGAGAGTAATCCCTCAGACAAAGTGAAACTAGTCAACTGGGCATCTGAGAGTTCTCAGATCCTTAGGTTTGGATCCATTAAGTTACTTAGATACCTACAGTTTTTCCTCTGTGTTTGCACAATAGTGCCTCTGTCTATACCAAAATGAAATGTGTTGAGCACTATTTGAAGTCCAAACGCGTGATAAGAATGTGCTCAAACGTAACATTCACTTCAGCACAAAGCCCTTTGTATGATATTTTAGCACATACAGCTTGCACCCTGAAAATGGAAGATCTGTATTCCAGGCTGTTCTTTCTAAGGGAATCCAGGCCTGCACTTCCCATGTGAGTTTCCAGACTGATGGGCTGTGATCTACCCTTCATGAATGCACTTTATTGCTCTTTTTGTAGGACTACAGGAAATAAAGAATGTGAGATTTTAGAAACCATAAAGCAAGCAAGCAAGAGTCATGGCAGCACTCCCTTCAAGCAGAGGAGTTCTAGTCTATTCCAACTATATGTGTAGTCAGGAGATCAGGTACTAGAAACCAAGATGCCAGCCCTTGCAGTAAATGCCTTCGTTACCAGACTAGTGTCAAGTTCTTCTTGACTGTTACCTGTTCAAAGACACTGTAAATGTAACCTTTTCATTATGAGAGCTGAAGGGATTCAGTTTGGCTTTTTGTACAAGGTAGCTTTCTTCTAACAAGTAATCAAAATTAACAATGAAGACATTTCTATAAAGAAACTACATCAATTTTATATGCACAAGGACAAACATTTCCACTGAAGTCAATAGCAAAAAACACAACAGGGCTGTCTGCTTGTATCATGCCAAATAGCATTTATGATGCCAAACTGTAACTAACCCATGAGGACAACAAAAAAGTTTACAAGCATTTTGCTCCAAGGTGGAGAAAGCAAATGAAAAAAAAAGATAGTTAAGCAGCATATTCTAAGTGAATACAAATTTGAATTGTAGAAGTGCCTGAGTTTTTTTTCTGTATTGCTGCAATGTAAATATTATAGCATATAAAATTGATGTAGTTTCTTTTAATCTAATCTATATATGAAGATGCTTAAGTGAGATGACAAGTATTTTAATAAACATTTTAGTGTTTACAAGATTATATATAAAAGGTAAAACTGAATCTTCAGTGACACAGTGCTAAACTGAAAACAGAGTGCAGTGTTTGAATGGCCTGTTCATAGACCTCGTCAGGTAGAGCTGAGCTGGTCAGCGAGTTCTGCAGCACACCCCACAGTGTGGCACTACAAGTCTTTGTTCAGCTGAGGAACTGAGCTTTCCATGGCTCTCTGTGTACCAGTTCTCAGGTGCAAAAAATCCAGAGATGGGTTTCAGGTACATGCATGATTCTCTACTTGAAAGCCAACTGCAATGTTTGTCACAATGTATTTGAAATATCTGTACTTGGTTTTGAACAATTTTCAGGTTCATGTGGGTAAATAAATGTATATGTAGTTACCTGTGAAGTAACCTGACAGGTATAATCAGATGATGGCTTTGAAAGGTCTTGATGTCTAGCACATATGGAAGACAGAGGAACGGGTTTGTCTAATGGTGATAAAGCGTAGGTAAGTGGCAGAGACTATACTTAAAGAAAAATATCTTTGCCAAGGAACAACTAATGGCATTGTTGTTTAAAGCAGTTATCTAGGAGCTAGAGTACTTCTGGCTGTAGATTAAAGCCCTATTAAAAAACAAAACAAAACAAAACAACATAGCAGGACTATATCAATCAAGGACATTTTGTCACATAATCAACCTTAAAGTCTTAGCCTGGCATAGGTTTCAATTATATGCATACTTATAATCAAGAATCCATCTTGTTAAACACAATGACAACGCGTGTAGAGTTGTTTGTAATTGTACAGGCTTAAAGATTGTAATTCAGCCTACTTTAGAAACGGTGATGGCTTTCATCCAACTAGGACAGACAAAGCGAGATAACTGTGGAGCGTTTTTAGCCTGCTGCTGCCATCTAGCGCTTGTGAAGTCAGCAGCGGTTTAGTGACAACCATACATAGCGGTTTGTTCACTAGAATTCAAAACTGTGAGCATGGGAGAGATCTTTTAGAATGTACTAAGAGTGTTTACGTTGGGTGGCTTTTTAGCACTTGAATCACTCCAAGTGCAGGCCAAAACATTTCATGTAGCTGTTTATACACATAATGTGGCTAATGAAGACGGTTATTAAAGGTTACCAGGTTTCGTAAGTTACACGTAGAAATGATGTGTGCATGCTACTTTTCTCTTAAAGTAAGCATCGATTTATATAGTACTTCTTTTAATATCAGATCTTAATGAGCTTAATAGTAATTTCCATATAATTTTATCATTCTGTATAATGTTATTAATCTCTGTTTATAATATTAAGCAACCCCTGTAGTGACTCTGAATTATGCAGAATCTTAGAGTGTTCAGTTGAGCTGTCAGGAGATGAAAAAAATTAATTTCAGAATAGAAAACCAAACAGTAAAAAAGTAAACATCTTATTTAAATGGGATGCACAGAGTAGTAGAGACACTATCATCTTAATATCTTGAAGAGTCACCCTGAGGACTAAGATAAACTCTTTTGAGGAATTACACTTGCTGCTAGGTCTGCCTTATTTCTGTGGTTTTAAAGCAGGGTGCATGAACCAGTTTGCTTTTATAATATGGTAATAATACAGACTGCATTGATAGGAAGTCGTGTAAAATTACCGGAGTAGATAATAAATTGATACATCCAAAAATCTCACAAAGTTTTATTAGTAATGATAAATAGTGACATAAACAATACTAATATAATGGACTTTCATGTAGATATTTTGTTTCCTCTTGACAGAGCAGTTGGTGCTCTTTCAGACAGCAAGGATTTTGTAGAAGATCTCCTGAAGGGAAAAACTGTGGGTTTGTCTTTTCGAGGAATTGATCACTTCAAAAATGAAGTTGGATTTGTGAAGTTGGCAGAAGATGATCATACTGCTATCCTCAAGGAAATAGCAGGTACAACTTGTCTATCTGTTTTAAGTGTTGTAAAGATAATTTGACAACCTACATGAGAATGGAGCACAAAGATAAGTTGGTGCTGATTTAATCAACGTTAATTTACCTTTAACAGCTGCAAAGGCTACATAACGAATTTCCCAGCTTGGTTCAGAAGGTTATAAATGCGTTACAGTTAGCATCTTTCTCTGATATCTTTTTAATTAGTACATGTAAAAAATGTAGTGCAGGCTCATAGATGGATATCACTATTCCATTTCTATCTTGTTTCAAGTCCAAGTACTGTCTGTTGTTCCTCAGGTGATTCTTATTCCCCTTTCAATTTTTACATTGATACTTACTTTATGAATTTAAGAGCTGTATCTTTGATGCATTTTACCTGATTTACAAAGTCACGTAATTCTCTCTCCTTTGTGTTCATGCTGAGTGGAGCACTGAGAGACAGTGACATTCTTTCCACTCCCATAGTCTGGGGAGTCTTTGAAGTTCTGTGTTTCCTTTGTATTCTACACATTGTTCTTAAATCTCAGTGGATTAGCTGTAACTTACCACTCCCACGTGTATCAGTGCATATATACACACGTGTATTTGTATAGAGATATATATGTTCTTTATACATACACTTCCATATATGGAAAGAGTAAAATCTAGACTTTCTCTGCACCTCTGGAAGATAAGGGGAATTCAGACGAAGGACATGACTCATCTGCCTGAGTAATGGGGTTGGATTCCATGCTGCTCTAGCCTGATTTTGTTGTTGTTGTTGTTTTTTGAGCAGATGTGGAACAAGTCTGTGGCTTGGTCAATGTGAACTGCCTTCCTTTAGCAATTAGGAAGTTACTGAAGGATGTGACAAGCACGTGCTACTATGCAGTTGCACTCACATGCTCACTGCAAGAGCAAAACTCTCAGTTCTGTCTTAAATAGAGCTAAAGCCCCTGACTTTGCCAGTCAAAAATGCATCCAAAGTTCAAGTCAGTAGGAATATATGTAAGTTAAAAGGAGTACAAATATCAGCTGAGAGAGAGCAGTCAGTACGTAGACGAAAACAAGGTAGAGTGGAGTTTTTTATCTCTCTATGAGTCTATACTCAAACTATGTTGTTTACAGCTATTAAATAAAAATTTCTAGAGAACAGTACAGTCTATAATTTACTGGTGTCCTTTAAAACTATCCCGGCAATTTCAACTATTCCTTGGAAAGAATCTTTAAAAGAGTTTTTCAGTATTGATGAATTATCTTTTGTGCTCTGAGGAATGTGAGGTCACACCAGTTTTTAATGGTGCAGTAACCCATATAGCACATTCTACAGAGTAGCAGTGACTGCGGCTGTCACGCTACCTCTTTGCAGTCCACTACAGACAAAAAACTTGAATAAGTCTTTACTAGTACAGTGCTTTCTCTAGCAGTTCATTAGTTTAATTTCTGAAGTGCCTTTAGAAAACGTTTAGTATTTTTTAACTTGCATTTTAGTGAAGGGCTGAAGAGAAGACTGAGCTTTTCAGCTTAGCGAATGGCTTATGCTGTCATTGGGCAACACTTTATTATTTCAAACAGCGATCAATTGAGAAGTATTTCTAATATTCAGTATGGTAGAAATTGAACAGTTCTTAAGAATTCCAGAGAGGCTTCTGTTGTCAAATAATCCCGTAATTATTTCAAAGATGGATTCTACCAAGTATTTCTTCAGTCCTTTGGATGATACGCTTCCTTGTTCTGGTCTTTGAGTTTGTCTTGAGATTTCTTTTAAAGGTGACAGAATATTGTATGTATGCTGTTTTATAAACAGTAAGATAATTCATAAACTGAAAAGAAAATTCAGAAACATATCCCTTTCAATGCGTTTTATGAATGGAGATTAGTGATTTCTCTTTAGTGACAGTAACATGATTTTGAGAAGTTTATCATTAAGAGCTCAAAAATAATTGAAGTTGCTAGACTTGGACAGCTAAATATTTTTTAACTAAAGGAAATCAAGAAGTTTGTTATGGGTAATTTTCTACACCTCTTAGACTAGTAAAACAGATTTTGGTCATGATTAGATAAGTAAAGATGAGATCAAATTTTGACCATTGTTTTTCAGCTTGACATTCCTTCCTAGCAGACAAACTTATAATACAGACAGATTTAGCAAACAAGCAAACCTAATGTTTTTCTTTGTAAACCTTAACTACGGTTGCTGACCTTTCTTTGTTTATATTAAAACTACAGCTGTATGTTGTTTTTTTTACTTAACACTGCTGTTCACTAAAAATGCCTTATTTTAGTGCTTACTTTTGTCAAGCCAGTGGATCATTTCTTGGCTTTGGGCTTGTTAAAAGACTTACACAGTGATGTTTGTTTCATCTGGATTTTGTTCTGAAACAGGGTAGGGAACGGAATGTTACCAGAAGAAAAGGGTGAAATGACTGAAAACATTTAATGAGTATGACTTCTGCATATGCTATCTTCACATTTCTTAGTGACTGTCATAACCACAACTCCTGAATTGCTGCTGATTTCAGAGTATCTTTTTGTGCCTTCTTGGAAGTGGTAATACTTTTTCATAACAGGTAACCTGTAACTCAGGAAAGCAAATTAAGTTTTTGTATTGATGCTCGTGGGAGGAAAAAAAAGATTTTAGGTCTGTAATTATGTAGCAGGTTACACAAGTGTGTTTCAAATGTTAGCTTAGTTCCGTATTAATTTAGTGTAAAGTAGGAAGAAAATTAATATACTAAGTAGTTTCTACATATGTCTTCAATAGATTAAATTGCAAAGAATTTAATATAAATAACCTGATAAAAATAGATAATTCCTTAGTACACAGATGTCCTTCAGGGCAGTGCAATTTGCAATATGAAATAATATTAAACAAAAGAATACACGTGAACTCTTCAGAACTGATGAGGTAAACAAGAGAGCCATTAGCATTCTCTCCCCTCCCCAAGAGTATTGCATGTATAATTCCTTTAAATTTAGAGTACACTTACAGAGTTAATTGCAATCTTACCTCCTAATGTATTAGCAGAATAGTGTTGATGAATTTTATTTTCTGTAGACATTTCATATGTTAATTCAAAAAGGGCTCTATGTCCAAATTATGCCTAGTATTCCTGCTCTGTGGATAGTGTCCTGAATACACAACGTTAGAGAGACAGCTGCAAGAGAAAATATTGGAAACCCTTTTTCTCTTGGGCTGCTGTTGTCAGGATCTGCGTGATGATTGCTCTCAGCACTTCATATACGCTGCTGTGAGGTTGTATATGTTTGACAGAAATTAATAGTCACAAGTTTATCCTGGCTTCTAGTGCAGCTTGCCTGCAATATAACTTGTGTCCCTAGAAAACTGCTATTTTAATACTGAAGTTGGCAGAAAGGGAAAAAAAAAAAAAAAAAAAGTACAGTTTTGCCCACAGGATGTTCATCATTCTGTTGTTGTCTATGGAACAGTAAAGAGAGGTCACTTCTGTGGCTGGTCTGATTTTTTGCAAGAGCTAAGTTTAGTTTATTACAGAATTACTGTTTTGCTGCTTTTTGATCTTTGGTTTATGCTATGCTCTAAGGTGAATTTTGACTTCTTGTGTTATTTTCTGTTCTACATGAATATTAAAGGAGAAATATTTATAACATAAGCAATAGAAAATACCTGAAGTTAAACTAACTTCTTGTAAGAGCCTGTTTAGTTCCATAAATTTTGTGAAAATTTGTTTGATACCAATAGCATCTGAATGTGGTACAGCTTTATAATGGTGAGTGCATGTCTGCTAAGACCAGTATAAATCTAAGTTGGACAGAGACAAAATTTGAGGAAAAGCAGAGCCTCTGTTTGTTGTGATTTGATAGTTATTTCCCAACAATCCATTAAAAGACCTTGGCATCATATAGTTATCTACCAGAAATAGTGCTAAACTGTTTTGACAGAACTTTGAGGAGTATTTTAATCACTCTTTGTCCAAGTCTTTTTAGAAAGCCTGAGCTAAAAGTGACATATACACTTAAAGTGACTTTTAAAAAACTCATTTCTTGTCCTTTGTTATACTATGGAATATTTGAATTGCTAAGTGAATTTGGAAAATGTAATGGATTATTTGGCTTCAATTTTCATTTTTAGGATCATATTGTAAATGCTGTTTGAAGCAGATAAAAGTGAGTGTGTCCTGTTTTTGAACCTGTAGGATTTGCAGATTTTTGGGTTTACGTGTGCACGTTATGGTCTGACCATGGGGGGGAGCTTGTATTCCATGGACAAAAAAGTTACTCTTTTTGCAGATAACTATTTCATTTGCTTTTATTCCATTGTTTTTGAGAAATGTTGGTTTGTTGGATTAACTATTTTAATACAACTAGGACTGCACTAGACAGACATGTAATGCACCTAACTTGTAATTTCCTTTAACTTTAGTTTTATATAAATGACATCTAGACTAATCTCACTAAAATTATTTTCCTAACAGTCCATACTAGACAGAGAGAAATGGAAAGTCATACTGCCCATCTTATTTTCTCTTTTGGCAAGGATGGTGGTTTATAAGCTTCTGTAAAGATTATGTAAGCACACATTTAGAATCTATGGGAGGGTGAGTATTGCCCTGATTTCTGAAAGCCTAGGGAAATACTTTAATTTGGTTAATTTAGTTCACTTTAGTTCCAGATGGCTGAAGCTAAGATACATGAGTTTTGCCTCTTGTCAGTTTATTCTTCAGTCATTTCGAAGTGATGGAAAAATTGAGACCTCAAAACTTGTCATTTTCCATTGAAACTGATTTGTACAAAGTGAACAAAAAGCTGCTAGTCCAAATCTGTAACAACTGCATTGAAAGTGTGCTGCTGTGACATGTTAGATTTTCTTGTAGCCCGTGTGCCATTAGTTACAGTTCCTACTAATGTGTGTAGCAGAACTTTACTGAGCTGTGTAGAAACTGAGCTCATCCACAGCAAGCAGAGCAGCAGCTTTAAAATGGAAAGGGACAACATTCTGCTGTCTCGAGAACATAATGATCTATGCCAGCAGATATATA